TGAAGAGGGATGAAAGATCTTAACATTGGGGACAACTTTAAGGTTGCAGTGGTTATGACTTTAACATCTTGATTTCAAATCTGGAGGTTTGCAATGATGAGTTCAAACAAAATGTGTAATAATTGCTTAATATAAAACTGAACTGTGTAAATGTTCACCTAATTCACAATAGAAAATTTAAATTAAAAAAGAATATATTAAGCTAAACATTTTAATAGTAGCAAAACTTTATGAGCAAACAGAATTCTTTAGTTAAATCCATCAGGCTTTGATGATACTAAATTTAGAGGAAATAAAGTTGTGATAAAGCTAGTCAATGAAATAATTCAATTATGGCATAATATCATGTACTTACTCTCCAGTATTATTGATATAAAAATTTAACATTACACTTTAAAGATCTTTCTTCACTGATTTTGCTAATATATTTTATATCATTCATAACATATTCAACAGATTTGCATTTTTCTTTAGCACAAGACACACTCAAATATTTGTTAGCTTTCTACAAAGTTTCAACTTGTCAATATTTTATTATAGATTACTAAAAACAATACCTACATTGCTCAAAAAAATATATTTTAAAAGTTAAAACATTAGGTTTTGTCCAAAAAAAACCTACAGAACTTGTTTTTTAATCAGGAAATTATTGTATTGAAACTTTGTCTTCTAGGCAGATTTTATGAAAACTAAAATGAACTTCTTAGGTTATTAGAAAAATTTTTCTCTCAACAGTGAGGAATCTAATTCCATTCTGTTTCACATTTAAAGCTCTTTAAAATAACTATGAATTGACTCATCAGACTTTTAGTTCAACCAGAAATTTGATATTAAACAAAACTATTTAATAAAAATAGCAATTTTCTGGGTTTAGTTATATATTTATTATAGTATAATCCTTTGGATGGCATAAAATAAGCATATTAATGATCTTTATATATACATAAAATATAGAGTGACTTCAAAAGTTCGTAGGAAAAAAGTACATTATCATTAATTATTTCAAAGTTGCCCAAGAAACTCTTTGAAACTCCTTAGTATACACTTT